AGAGAGAGAGAGAGAGAGAGAGAGAGAGAGAGAGAGAGAGAGAGAGAGAGAGAGAGAGAGAGAGAGAGAGAGAGAGAGAGAGAGAGGGAGGAAGTAAATGCTGAACGTTTTGGGGCTTAATTGACAGGTTGCAATTGCTGACCATATCTGCGATTGCTGAAGGATTCTCCTTCTCGAAGCTGTGCTGTCGCCTACCAGTAGTTTTTTTTTCACATTTGTGTAAGTACGTAAATGGAGAGTGTGTGCAATTGGCCCGTGCATTTCTTCTACTTCTTAACTTGATAATGTTGAACGTTTTGGGGCTTGTTTGACAGGTTGCAATTGGTGACGATATCTACAATTGCTGGACGATTCTGCTTCTCGAAGCTGTGCTGGCCCCTCGGACATTTTTCACATTTGTGTATGTACATTAATGAAGACTCTCTTAAAGCTTAGCTGCTCAAAGGCGGCCGTCTCACTCTCGTTTTGTGTGATACGCTGGTCCAACTTTGTAGCGATGAGATCACATCAAGGAACAATTACTCTCACTAGGTTTGCGGATGAGCGTTCTGCCGCTGGGTTCTTCTTTCCCCTCAACTTCCTCAAGTGCATATGATGAGGTTACCCGGGACCACCTATTCTTTAGACGCTGTCCGCTGTGGCAGTTACGAATCCAGTTATAGGCTCTGTAATTGGTATTACCTTGAAAGAACAGTTCATTGAGGCACATCATCCGCACATGCGACCTTATTCTTGGCTTACGTTTGACTCTCTTGCTGTAAAGCGCTGGACACGCGTGCTCACAGTGACTCTGGCAGAGATGGAGTGATGACCAGAGAGACAACGACAGATACTCAGACTGATAGGTCAGAGAGAGAGAGAGAGAGAGAGAGAGAGAGAGAGAGAGAGAGAGAGAGAGAGAGAGAGGGAAAAAAGAAGAAGAAGAAGAAGAAGAAGAACAACAACAACAACAACAACAACAACAACAAGACAGAAAATAGGGAGATAGATACAACTAGCATAGAAAGATAACTAGTAGATAGGATCCACAAGAGAAATGGTGTACAGACCTTCTCGGAGACTTCAGAATCAGGTAAAATATTTCTGCATTCTGGAGTTGATAGAAAGTATCACAGGGATTCTGGCCATGGGTATCTTGACCCTGTCAGTGGGCTGTTTTGCGCAGAATATGACCCAGCGTACTGCTTGGGCCTCCGTTTCCCTTCTGCTGATCGGAGGAGGTTCAAAGCTCGTGGTGTTTGCCACTGGACGAAGATTTGTTGACCGAATCTCCCTTGACGGCATGTCTTGTGCGCACGTGGCAGCTGACAGAAGAAGGGCACATTCAAAACGAAGGGGGGCGTTCCGATTTCGCCACCTGTCGGTCCTGCGGGACATTCGCCTTGCAACTTTGGTCCTTCAGGTGTCCCTCGGGACATTTCTGTATGTCTCTATCCAGGAACTCCGGCTTTTCCCAAAGTCTGATGTTAAGTCCGAGAACCTGGGAATAGACCGTGCCATTGAGTTTCTGGTAATCAGTTGTTGCAGCCTTCTCGTCCATTCCCTTGTCCAGTGTTCTTTGGTCTTCTTTTCTCTCTTTTATGCTTTAGCAGGCTATGTCAAACACCACTCCGATGACCCAATAGGGGGGCTTGCGGGCAGAGTACAGCCTGAACAGAAGTTCATGAAGGGATTCATGCTGGAGAAATGGTATAGGCATCAGATGGAGGTCGATGCTGGCGTCACTTGGTATGTGCACTTGAATCGTCATTTCTTCTTCGATGCTGAGGATGCTTTAGAGAACAAAGATGTCTGTGGCCTGCCAGGGTACTGGTTCTTCAGCGTCAAGGAACTGTTGAGCATAGTCAGGTTCAATCTGCCTGACGCGGCAGGCGAGTGCCACCAATCGTCCGCGTGGAGTCGGTCAGGGAAATCAGGGAGCAAGCTATCATTATTGCAATGCCTGGAATCTTTACTTCATCTGTCCCAAACATCTATGACTGGTGTCCAGCTCACCGACAACACCCAGTACATGCATGATCTGCCTCAGACTAGCCGCTGCATGCACGATGTTGATGCGGGTAGAGACTTTGCTCAAGCTGGAGGCTATGCAACCATGCTACTTGTGATGCAGTCGTGCCGACCTGATTCTGAAGAAGTGCGGTGTGCTGCTTCCATTGTTGCGGGATTTGCTGCCGGTCTCTCCGTCCTTCCTTGGCAACCTGACCGCAACACTGCGGGCATGAGCTTCATCTTGAAGATGCTGACTACAGATGTTTTCAGGGACCACACAAGGCAACTCTTCCTCGTCCTGTTCAGGCTGCTGAAACCCAGGAGTCCCAGTTTGCCGGCTGGCAAACAGCTACGGGTTCAGGAGGCCGCTGCATCTGCTATCTGTTCCCTCACGCGTGTTGCCAGCGATATACACGCGCACTATCACGCCTCTAAAGGGCAGCTTGAGGAACAGCCGGAGACATCACGGCGATATACAGAACAGGTTGAGCCATGCGTACAACCCGGTATGCAACCGCCATGGGCACAAGAAGCGGAAAGAGTGCCAACGACCATTATTGATTTTGAGCCGCCATGCGTACAACCCGGTATGCAACCGCCATGGGCACAAGAAGCGGAAATAGTGCCAACGACCATTATTGATTTTGATACGGAGCGGTGTGAAGAGCATGGTGCTGCTAGGTTGGAAGATACGAGGCTGAGCAATGCCTTCACCACTGCCGTCCCAGACGGTTGGCGACTGCCAACGACCATTCCTGATTTTGAATCTGCAGAGTTGATATGGGCAGCAGACATTGTGGACTTCTTCTTGACCGAAGACAAGTTCATGGGCATTCTGCTAGATTGTCTGGCAAATACGGAGTCACATAACGTCGCTTCCGCCTGTTTGAGGACTCTGTCATCGCTGTTTTCGTGCAGGATGATCTACTGGCATCGTTTCGATATGAGAATGCCAACGGGTTTTCCTCCCCCTCTTGCTTTGATCAGAGATTTTGTTGACAACAACAGCTGTTCAAGTGACCTCACAGACAGACTGAAAGATCTCCTTCTTAGCTGCATTGAGGGAGGAGAGCAGGGTCGATTTGTTGATATGGCTAAGCCACCTATAAGAAACGATCACAGTCACATGGCTAAGCCACCTATAAGAAACGATCACAGTCACGACAAAGACCAAGGCGGAACTCCGAGCTCTCTTGATCCTATGGTGGAAAAGGAAACAGGTGATGAGGAGAGAGGTACAAGATCTCATCAGACTTCACAAGGCGACTCGAGAATCCGACAAGAGGACACGTGTGCGCCTAAAGAATCTTATCACCTGGGTCATCATGAAGAAATGTGGAATGAATATCAGGCAGAGTTGCGCTTCTCCCATTATTCACAGTTGGAGCTGGCCAAGATTTTCGTCTCTCAGGGCATACGAGACATCGACAAGGTCCTCGTGGAGGTCTTGCTGCAATGCCTGTCCTACTGGGCTAGCGCACTCGGCACTGTCGAAGTCAGGTGGAGCGCTACAGAAACCATAGAAGTCCTGCGTGATCTGTTCCGAACCTCAGACCATTGGGATTCTCTATCGCCTATGCTCTTCCCCCATCTAAGCAGCATCATTGCCAAGTGCTTGCATCTTGGTACAGATGACTTCAATCAGTTTCTTCGTAGGGTTTCGTCAAATTGCCAAGCATCTCCCTCCTTAACCGACGCTGAAGCATGCTTATGCGGTCTCGCTGCGTCTGCAGCTGGACTTCTAGGGGACTTGCTGAACATGCAATGCCATGGGGGCAGCCCACAGCCAATCAGCTCTCTTCTGCACCCCCGTTCTGCGAGACTTGTTGAGCCGCAACGTTCGCGACGTTGGTCAGCATGTTATCCCGGGGATGGTGTCTTAAGCAAACGACGGACAGCAGTCACAGCACCAGCAACCGACGTCGTAGATGCCTCTAGTACATCTCTAAACCTCTACAGGCTAGGACTGGCAATTTTGCCTGACCCGAACATCACAAATGATGCCATCATCACACTGTTCAACAGCTTGAGCTTTATGACCCTTTGCCGGATCTCTGGGGATATGTCTTGGCACCAGGTCTGTTGGGATATGTATGGACCTGCAAGAAAAACCCATGTGTTTCGCATGACGTGGACTCTAAATCTTAAATATTGGATTGCGCGCATCTGGCAAAATCTTAAATACACCATCACAGCTTGGATTGCGCGCATCTGGCAGTCCTTGTCCAATCCAGTGTGGCTACCTGGACCTGCTCTGATGGAAAGTATGAATTCAGACTCGACGGAGGGCTGTGAGGTGTACAATATGTCACGGCTTGAGAGGACTGTGAACGCTGTGCTGGGAAGAAGAAACGCAGTGAGAGTTATCGAGTACGTAATCCAGCTATACGCGCTACAGTTCGACCATGAGCAACTGGATGTCCTTGTTCTACCCCTGGTTTGCGGGCTCAGGATGCATGCCAGGGTCCCAGCAAAAAGGCCGCAAGAGCAATGGCTAAATCGGATCATCTATGCTGACGAAATGGGTTATGATCGAACTAGCATACTGCTGGAGACGGTCAAAACTCTGAGACATCGTTATTCGTTATCAGAAGCGGCAAAGACTGTGTAGAACAGGATTTTGGTAACCTTGAGGTTTTTTTTTTTGTTGTTGTAGGCATCCTCAAAACGCTCCTATGTACCTATCTCTTGTGGTTATTCCTTTGTCTTGAGATGAGCATTATCATAGATCTTGTATGGTTGGTCATGCGGGTGTTGTAGACGATGATCATTTTTTTTGTTGACAGTTCCGGGCTTCAGTGTCCATTGTTCCCATAAGTATCATTCTCATCAGTGTCCATTGTTATCGCACAAGCACACGTCACGTCTGCACGAATCTGCAGCTTCCAAACTGGGGAAAAAGGAAGAAAGGGATAACAACTGTTATCATAACAATTACATGTCATTGAGATTCATTGCTTATAAATGACCTCGGCCGCGGCCATTACCACTGTCGCCGGTCATGACCGGGCCGATCACGGACTCCGCGGCCACGTGGCGGCCCGGGGGGGAGGGGGGAGAGGGGGTCTCGGAGGAGAGTTGGGGATTGGGGTCGCGCAACCCCGTCCCTACCCCATGGTAAGGAAAAAAATAAAAAACTGAGAAAAAGTCTTTTTTTTTCTGGGTGATTTAGAGGGAGGAAGGGAATTACAAAAAAAAAAGATTAAAAAAGTTGTTTGGAATAGAACTTACTAAAAAAAAAAAAAAAACACTGCTTGATTGACTGATTGATTGATTCTGAAAAAAGAAACATGGCCATGCTCGCGCGTGTGAGTGTGTGTGTGTATGTGTGCATGTGTGTGCGTGGGTGCGTCTGTGTCTATGTGTGTGTATGTGTGCATGTGTGTGCGTGGGTGCGTCTGTGTCTATGTGCTGTCTCTTATACACATCTAGATGTGTATAAGAGGGGTGGTTAAGGGAGGGTGGGTCATAAGTGCCCATTGTTCGGCGGTTAAGGGCGACGGTTAAGGGTAGTTGGGGACAGTAAGGGGCGGTTGGGGACAATTAGGGGCGGTTAGGGGCCATTGGGACAATCAACGGTGGTTAGGCGAGGGTGGGTCACAAGTGCAGATGGTTACTGTGCAACCGGTTGAACGCGCCGAACGCGCGTTCACGTTCAAACGGGTGCGTTCATACCCCCCGGGGCCGCGTTCAATCGTGTTCAAACGCGCTGAGCGTGACGTGGCGCGAAAAAATTGAACGCGACCCGGGGGGGGGGCGCACGCGCGTTGCGGACTACGGGGTGGTGGGCCTCGTTCAACAAACCCCGAAAGTGCAAAAAAAAGCCCCCCCAGAGGCCCACTCCCCCTACCGCGTCACCCCACGCCATTCCCCGCCAGCACCACCCTCCGCCCGTACCCGACCACCCGATCCCGACCTCCCACCCACCCCCGCCCTGCCCACAAAACCCCCCATTTACACACACACATACACACACACATTCACACACATACACGAACACACATTCACACACACACACACACACACACACACTCACACACACATACACACAAATTCACACACACACACACACTGGCACGTTTGTTTGTTTGTTTTTTTCCAAATTTTGTGTTTTTTTTTTTAATTTGACCGCAAAATAAGCGGTTTGAGAAATAAAAAAAAGGGTTGTGGGCAAAAAAAAAAAAGGGAGGTGGTTGGGTGCTAGAGGGCGCGACGGGAGGGTTTGGGTTTTGTGGGGTATGCAAGCACTTTGGGGGTTTGGGTTCGGTGCATGTTCAAATCGAGCCGAACCCAAACCCCCCAAGTCCGCCCATGCCCCACAACCAAGGTTTTTGTTGTGCTCATACAATGGGAAGTGGGATTTCAGAGAGATCAGGAATTTGTCAATGCACACACAACACTTATCGTCTGAAAACAGAAACATTGTAAACGCCAAGATATAATCGAAGCAAAACACAAACCAATGTAGCATGGATAATAGCAAAAATCTGACACGTCGTGTCGAAGACCCGCAACTCTATCGAAAGAAGTATCGACTCAAAAGTGTCGACTAAAAGGTAGACTAAACAATAAACTGAAAAGATACAATCTCCAAAGTGCCGAACGAAACCATGTGTGAACTGCGTAAAAAAGTACCGACTAAAAAGTAGACTAGAATACAACATCACGAAACACTACGTTTGTCATGGATAACAAAAAAGTGAACCACACCGAGAAACGCAAGAAAACGCAAGTTCGTAGACAATCAACGATCGTCTCCCGCGCGCGAATCTTGCTTGGATCCATGAGAACCTCGTCCGTGTGACCCAGTGCCACGTGGTCGATCTCTCTTACGCTGCCTGCCGCGTCCGACAGTGAAAGGCTTGGGAGGGTCGTAGGGGTCGTCGTCCATAATGACTTTCCTACCTCTGGCTCTCCCGGTACCTGAGGCTGCTAGATCAACACGTTGGCGGGACACACGACGCATAGGTAGACCGTTTGTCCCTGAAGTCTCCCCCTCCTGGCGTCGATCTAAGGGCACGTGTTGGGCCTGCCTTGCTCGTGTAACAACCTCAGGCTCGTATAAAATAATCGATGCCTCTCTCAAACCGTACGTCAACGATGGATCCACTTCGCCCGCCGCGGCACCGCCTGCGCCCTCACGTCTGCCAGGCATGCCACCACTGTCACCGCCTCTACCGCCAAACCCAGACGCCACAACATCTTGACGACTCCCGCTCGTGGAAACCCCTCTCAAACCTGGCTGATGACCAACACTCGCCGTCGTCACCCGTCTCGTCTCACTCCATGGCCGATCAGTGCGACCTGAACAACATGGTGTCCTGCGACTCCCGCTCATGGTCGGTGGTGTCTCTCCGTCTACGGGCAGCCGACCTGGGGGTAAGACTGCCACTCACCGCCGCAACCACGCTCGCGGGTGACAATGGGCCTGCAGTGCTGTGAGAGGGCGCTGCGACAAAACCTCCAAAAGGTAAGCTAGGGCTAGATGGCCCCCAAGACAAGTCCTGCACGTGAGGTAGATGCCCTGGATTTGGGACTGACCTCAAAATACGCTGGTCGATCTCGGTCAAATCCGTCATGTCGTGTCCCTCCAACTCCTCAGCGGCCATGCAACCCAATGCGAGGCTGCCGCGAGGCGTAGCCACATACGTAAAGTCTGCAGCGTCTCCTGTCTGTCTCCGTCACGCCTGTCTCTCACGTCCTCTCTAGGTATAACCTCGCTGTCGACCTGTGCATGATCTCGCCTTGCCCCACTAACATCGACGTCCCTCGCTACGTCCTCCTCCCCCTTGGTGGTCGGTGCTGTCCCATCTGCCTGTGCAGATGGTCGAACATCATCAACGCCCACTGACTGCCCCGTATGTATGTCCTCCAGACCCGGGGAGATGTGCACGACACCCTCAACCAAAATCGTGGGCAGAGGCACGCCCGCGGCCTCATGCGACGTGTCCTCGGGCCTCTGCTCATCGGTGGGAGTCTGGTTAGGGACCACAAGTGGGTCCTCTAGCGGTGCCAACCCGGTCTCGTGACTCTCGTGCAGCCCCCCCTCCTTGACATCCCCTCCCATACTCGACGCCTCGGCCAAGGCTGCCTCCCCCTTCGTCCTATCGCGATCCCATGTGGGCAGTTGTCTCTATGTGAAGGGACGCCGGCGTAAATGTCCCCGGCTGTCTCTGTCGCTCCTCAGCCGCAAGACGGGCCAACTCCTGCGTCCTGGGGTCCGCTCGTGCCATGAGGTAACCTCGACGACTATCAAGCCTATCCAGCCTCTCTGCAGATGTCTCTCCAGGGGGTGTGCGGTCCTCATTTCCCTCTGCCATGGGTGCTGACGACATCAACTCGTCGTGCATGGCAGGTGAGAAACACTCCGGGTGCAGGGCGCTGATCTGTCCCAATACGTTCTGCATGTCCGCACTGATGTTCCCCCGAGACTCGCTCTCTCCCGGGGGTATCCCCAATGACCCCAAGTCACCAAACAGTCCAAACTTGCTGAAACCTCCTCCGCCACCCGCCGGCCTCCCCTCATCACGAACATTCATAAGCTCGTCCACCTCAACCGCCGCAGCAACCTCAGCACCGCCTTCGCCTGCTGCCAACACACCACCATCTACACCAGTCAACCCCTCTCTATCTCTCTCATCCCCCTGAATCGGTGAAGTACCGCCCGCTAATCTGTCCTCCAATCGCTGGCTCGGGCCCTTCAACAGTCTGCTCAGTCGACCATCGGGGGATGAGCCTCGACGAAGCTCCTTCGTCGAAGGGGGAAGAGCGGCGAATGATGCCATGCCACTACGAACATGCGCAGGACGCTGGCCAGGGACGCCCCCACCACAACCCGACTCTGCCCCCCTCGAAGGTACAGATCCAGGAACTCGCTCTCGCTCAGCGGACTGTGGGCCAGGTGACGTAGGCGTACTAAGCCTCTGTCGCCCGACAGGGCTCCCATAAGGAACCCCTTAACTCCTCCTCGCCCGACAAATCAAGTCCACCGAAAACGTCATCCCCGCCACTCCGTCTACGGACGTCCTCCGGGTCGCTCCACTCATCAGGCTCCTGTGCCGCATGAGTGGCAGTAGCGGGGCTCGCCCGCTCGTCCTTCTCCTCCTGGTCCTCGTAATCGCTATCGTCGTCTCGAGGGTACGGGTGCAATGTGGCAGCTCGAGTCCCAAAAACATCGCCAACCTCACCCGGAGGAGCTCTCGACCCACATGGGTCCCGCAGTCAAGAACGCCTCTGAGACTCGAGCTCCTCCTGCGTCCTGCTCTCGTCTGTCCCCTTCCACAAGGGGCGAGTCCCAATACCTCTCTCCACGTCCAACAATGACTCATCTAGAGTCCACGGTAGCGCAAACCCGCGGCCTGCCCGCTGATGAGAGAGAAGGCGGACACTGGCTGAGATCTCAACCAACTTCGCAACATTCTCAAACTCAAGCTGGTTACACTTCTTCGTCTGTACACCCTCGTGGACAGCCCAATTCCTCTCCGCGCGAGAGGAGCACGTCCATATGTACATCACACGAAGAGCGATAACCTGCAACTCCGAGGCGCACTGTCCCCACTTTGACCACCAACACCCGGCCTCGTACGTCTCCACATCGTCGGCGCACCTGTTTGCCTCTTTGTCTCTGTTCCTCCCCCCCCATGCAATCCCCCCCCTCTGTGTGTGGAAGTCGCACAACTGCGCACATGCGGTCTCGTACTCGGGGCTCGCTACACTGAACCCTGTCTGCAACAAGATGTAAGTCTCCGCCTCCCTCACTAAGCTCGCGTCATAGTCGCTGACTACGCCCTCGTAATACCGCAAGTCCCGCCGGCTGGGACAGAGAAGGTGAGCAGTGGCTAGGGCCGGCTTCAACATGTGGGTGCACCGAGCTTGCACCTTCTGCACAATGAAGTGTGCAGAAGCCGCCGGAAGTGCGCGAACCTCCTGTGCCACCTCACGGGTCACATCCTGCGTCCACTGCACAAACCTCGACATGTGCAACCCTCCACGGTCCAACCTGCGCAGCATGTCATACACAGGCTCCATAATACGGACGAACGGAATGGTCCTAAGGGACCATACCCCAACTACCGCCGTCCACCGTCCTCTCCAATGCTCACCTCACTACCTGCAAACGCTCCATCATCGCGAACACGGATGTGAAACGTGTCTCGCACGGATAAATAAGGCCCATCTGCTTGCTCTCCGTCCTAAAGATATGAAGAGCAGTGCCGTGCTCCTTAATAAAGCGCACCGCCACTCTCCCCCGCACGATGATGTCCTTGGACTACGAGCTCGAACAGCCAATGTCTGACAACATCTTCTTGCAGACATGCACTGCGCATGGGAGCCACGTGATCCGTCGATGCTCTGGCCTCTGCTCAGGCCTCTGGACCATGTTTGTCGCGACAACGTACGCCGAGGCAGAGTCGGTGCAGATTGCATTCACACACTTAGGGGGGAAGTCATCAAACACCTTGATCCAGCGCGCCAACACATAAGGCGCCCGATCCCGCTCACCCTCCATGTTCATTGTCCGGATGAGCATCACCCCACACGACCCGCCGGCAAGGAAGTTGACGATGGGTCTAGCATCGCGTGACTTCCTTCCGTCCGACATGATGGTGGCCCCCGTGACATAGAAAGGAGCCCTGACCTCTGCGAGATCAGCCGCCACATCGTCCGCCGTGCGAACAACTGTCTTTATGTCCGCAATCTCGTTCTCCGAAGGCCACAAAACCTTCATTGGCCCCGACAATTCCATGAAGTTCCGGACGATGTCCAACCACGGCTCGCTCCGGAAGATGTTGAACGCGAGGCGGTGACTGTAGACAAACCTCAGCCACCTCTTCTTGAACTCCATCTGCCACTGTGAAGCGTATGACTCCGTGATCGTGTTCTGCCTCCGTCCCTTTTGTGCTGCCGTCGGCCTCGCCCCCTCCTCTCTCTTCTTCCTCTTCCCCGAAGATGGACCCACCTCGTCTGTACCCACATCTGCATGTGTGTGAGCCGACACGCGCGCATCCTTAAAGAACTGGCCTTGCTGGCCCCCCGGCTCGCTGACAACGCCCCTCCCTCGGTCCCTCCCTAACGGCCCCGCCCGCTCAACCTCATCGACGTCGTCCACGACGATCTCCTACTCGGCGCCCCTCATCTCTCCCTCCCACCCCTCATCCCGACGCGGATCCATCGCAGGCGCTAGACCGTGAAGCTCTTCGAAACGCTGCATCCGCTCTAGGATCTTCCCGTCGAGCTTGTAGCCGTTGTTATAGTGTATGTCGACAAGTGCCTCGTCGGTCACTGTCGGGCATCCCTTGCCCTGCCGGAAATCGCGCCCCGCCACATACTGGTTGCCCTGGAACTCGTGGCCGCAAAAAAGGCACTTCAACATGGGATTGCCGCAGAACCTCTCGCCGAGATCTTGTCCCACGCGGATGTACTTGTACACGCAGCACCTCTTCTGCGCCTTGCGGTTCTCATCCTCCCCCAGATCCTCAAACACTCAAGCCTGACTCCGCGGCATCGTGCCCGTCCGTCGATGTGTTTATCGAACAGCCCCGCCCCCGGTCTGTCCCACGAAGTCCCAGCTCCCGCCGACCTCCCTCCCCGCACAACGCCCCGTCCGCCCACCCCGGAATGGCTCTTGATGGCCCAGCGACCCAGGGCTGAGGCCCGCGCCAGTGCAGCACTGAGCTGTGAAGGCACCGTACCATCCGCGCGGCGGCCCGCGTTCGTAATTGAACGAGCGTTTAATGTTGTGGAACGCACGTTCAAGAAAATTGAACGCGCGCTCCGAAAATTGAACGCGCATTCAATTTTTTTGTGTCGCTCCGCGCCACGTCTGGTTGTCGCTCCGCTGCTGCTCGCTCCGTGTCGTCGTCGTCTCCCTCTGCGCTGCGCCGTCGTCGCCCGCTCCGCTCCGCATCGAAACCGTCTCTCTCTCTCTCTCTCTCCCTCTCTCTCTCTCTCTCTCTTTCTCTGTCTCTCTCTCTCTCTCTCACTCACACACTTTCTCTCTCTCTCGCACTCTCTCTCCCACGCGCGTTGACGTGTTACTCTCTCTCTCTCTTTTTTTCTTTCTCTCTCTCTCTCTCTCTCTCTCTCTTTCTCTCTCTCTCTCTCTCTCTCTTTCTCTCTCTCACTC